AAGTTTGCAGATGACACAAAAATTGGGGGAGTGGTAAATAATTCACTAATACAGAGTGATCTGGATCACTTGTTAAACTAGATACAAGCAAACACTGTGCATTTTAATATAGCTAAATATAAATGTATACAACTAGGAACAAAGAACGTAGGCCATACTTACAGGAGAAGGGACTCGATCCTGGGAAGCAGTGACTCTGAAAAAGATTTGGGTATTGTGGTGGATAATTATCTGAGCATGAGCTCCCAGTGTGATACCGTGGCCAAAATCCTTGAATACATACAAAAGGGTATGTTGACTAGGAATATAGAGGTTATTGGATCCCTGTATTTGGCACTGGTGTGACTGCTGCTGGAATACTGTGTCCATTTCTGGTGCCCACAGTTCAAGAAGAATATTGATACATTAGAGAGGATTCAGAGAAGAGCCACGAGAATGAGTAAGATTAGACAACTTGGCTTATAGTGAGAGACCCAAGGAGCTCAATCTATTTAGTTTAACAAAGAGAAGATTAAGGAGTGACTTGATTACAGTCTTTAAGTACCTACTTGGGGAACAAATATTTAATAATGGGATCTTCAATCTGCCAGAGAAAGGTCTAACACAATCCAATGGCTAGAAGTTGAAGCTAGACAAAATCAGACTGGGAATAAGGTGTAAATTCTTAACAGTGAGAGTAATTAACCATGGGGTTGTGGTGCATTCTCTTCACTGACCATTTTAAAAACAAGATTGGATATTTTTCTAGAATATCTGCTCTAGGAATTATTTTGGGGCAGGTCTCTGGCCTTTGTTCTGCAGGAGGTCAGACGAGATGATCACAATGGCCCCTTCTGGCCTTGGTATCTATGAACCTCAGCTTGACAAGATCCTGTCCTCTGATGTCTGAACTCTGGCACTGAGTGTCAAATTATCACACTGGCTGCACCCTGAGTAGATAATGGAATGAGGCAGCCCTGCAACAGCAGGTAAATAGCAGGGCATTCATAGCAGTCATGGGGAGTAGTTTGGGGAGTCGTTCTGTCCTGCATCCACATACAAACTCTAGTCAGCTAGTGCAGTTGTACTGCCCTCTGGGTCCCCATCCCACACTTCCCAGCACAGCTGTCAGGAACTCAGCTGGCTCCAGGCACGGTCGTCTAGCAACCCAATGAGCTTGACTGGGCCCAATAACCCCCCACCAAGTGACTGTGCTCTCTGGACAGCACGGCCAACAGCTCACCATTTAAGCCTTGTAGCAACAGCAGCACTGTGGGTGCTCAGTGCGTTCCATGCCCCACTGCTGCACCAACCCTGCTTCCTGCACCAGCCCTTGTTCCAACCTGTGTCTGTTCCGCTCTAGCCCTTGTCCCTATCTTCCTCAGAACTCCCGACTCCCGGCTCCGACCACTGACTTGTCTCCGGTCCACCACTCCGGCTCTGCCCTTTGGTTCTGTTCTGGCTCCTGGCTCTGACCATTAGCTTGTCCCTTGACCATGCTTCCAGTACTGCCCTCTGAGTCTGCTCCAACCACTAGACCAGATTCCTGTTCCGATCACTAGGTTGCATCACCCAAACCCCAGCATGGGACAACAGCCTCCCAAAGAAGTGGCTTATGGGAGATTTTGAAAAAGTCTAAGAGGTTTGTGGGAGAAGGAGCCAAGGCGGGGCTTTTCAAAGGAACCCAAGGGATTTAGGTGCCCAAATCCCACTGACTCCATTAGGCTGTTTTATAAACATCATCCTGAATTACCATAACTGCCTGGGAAACACAGACCTAGCCTTGAAGGCCGCTTAGCTCTAGTGTAAAGCTTGGCCTCTCTGGTAATTTTTGTATCCCTTCCCCCTCTCTCAGGGAAATGCTCCCAGCTGCCCCCTGAGATGAGTCTTTCTGAAGCCCCAGCTCTCTTTAGCTGTGGAACCCACAGGGAGAGCTCCACATCAGGGCTTTGGCAGTTCCCAGACAATTTCCTTTGGTCTGAGCCCAAATTTCAGCAGAGTGAAGCACGTGCCAAAATGCTCATCTGGCAATGACTAGCGAGGGAAAGGAGGTGGGGGAGGGGAGAGGAACAATCTGCACTGCAGCCCCAGTGCGTTCTCTCTGCTCTGCACATATCTGAGGTGCGATTTGCATCCTGAGTCACTGGCTTTTCCATGGGGCATTGCAGGACAGATTCATGATGGACCAGAGGGTGTACCTTTCATCTCCAAGAATCCCCAAACACTTTGAAAACTCTATGCACCTGACAGCACTGAAATGCAGCCATCTCTAGTGTGGAGGCCAACAACCAGCCAATGTGGGAAGGAAAATATTGGCCAGATTCTGAGTTCTCTGAAAAGCATCTTCTGATGGTCAGAGAAGGAAAGGCTGAGTCAGAGGCCCTGGGATTGGAACCCTTAGGGCCCGATTCTTTTCTGACACTTGTTTAAAATGAATCTTTAAATCCAGATTGGAAATCCTTCTAAAAGATTTGCTGTAGGTCACCCAAGGGTGACTGGGCTCGATGGGGACGTTCTGTATTAGGCAGGGTGTAAAACACCAACTTAAGCTAAATCCATATAAGACACAGTTATTCTGAAATAAGAATGTCCACACCCAGGGTCTTGTCAAAATACCTGAAGGTGCCAATTAAAGCTGACTTTGGTCTTTCAGTGCAAGTTGACGTGTAGACCAGCCCTTATACCAAGGGAGCCCCTGGCCCTTCTACTGTAATGATCAGTGCAGACAGCACTTCCACCAATACCTGGTTCTGTATCTTTATCTACTGTTAAGTTGCTATCTTGTTTTGATGTTGCATTGTTGTCTGGGTTCAGATGGCAGGGCTAGGAGGAGGTTAAGTTCTGCCGGTGTGTGCTGGAGTTGATACTTGAAGTGTCCCAATAAATCCTTTTATTCTATAAAAAAGTTTTACCACTGGGGCATCAACGTTCAGATGGCAAAAACACTTATGTCAGAAGAAATGTACAGGTCATGTGGATGAGAGTAGAATCTGTGAGCACATCACAGACTTTGATGAATGAATCATGCATCCGATGAAGTGAGCTGTAGCTCACGAAAGCTTATGCTCAAATAAATTTGTTAGTCTCTAAGGTGCCACAAGTACTCCTTTTCTTTTTGCAAATACAGACTAACACGGCTGCTACTCTGAAACCAGACTTTGAACTGTTGCTCTTGATGAACAGTGATCTGATTAGAAAGCAGCACAGTACCAAAGCATTTTACATCAGCTTCTCAATGTGGATTATGGTTCTTTCAGACAATTACACAAACACCTATATGACCACTATGGGGGGGATTGGCCCTTCTGAAGTTCTGGAAGGAATGACAACCAAAGGGTCAGCAGGAAGGTAACCCCCTGTATAGTTGTTTGTGTGCTTTGCAGAGACTGTTTGACAGGGCTTTCCCTGCACCAAGCTGTCTGGGACAGAACGTGTTATACTAAATCTGCAGCTGGCAAACCATGGGAAACCATGAGAGAATCCTGGGTGAAAAGTCAGTTTATGAATAGTTTAACAAGAGAATTTAATGGCTTGTTGTGAAAGATAACATGGGCAAACTATGACCCGCAGGCTGGATCCAGCCCGCCAGCCGTTTTAAGCCAGCCCTTAAGTTCCCACTGGAGAGCGGAGTCTGGGTGCTCCAGCTGGAGAGCAGGGTGGGGGGCTGGCTCCCTTCTGGTGCTCGAGCTGGGGTGCAGGGTCAGGGGCCGCTCCACGTGACTCCCGGAAGCTGCGGCATCACCACCCTCCAGCGCTCCAGCCAGGGAGCAGGGTCGGGAGCCCCTCCACGCGGCTCCTGGAAGCAGCGGCATGGCCCCCCTCTGGCACTCCAGTGGGAGCTGCAGGGGCAGTGCCTGTGGACAGGGCAGCGTGCAGAGCCGCCTGGCCATGCCTCCGCATAGGAGCCAGAGAAGGGACATACCTCAAGCGGCTCCCAGAAGCAGCGGCAAGCATCGCCCAGAGCCTGGACTCCTGAGCCTTTCCCCATGCCTGATCATGTGAATGAACTAATGAGCATAGCAACTGAAGGAGTGGAAGTACTGGACACATGAGAAGCCACCAAATATAAACGCATTGCATTCAGGAATTTCATTAACAGAGTTGTGCAAAATTATAACAAGAAACCAAGAAGGATGTAGATGTAGTGCTTCATCGAAGGCTTGAGTAGCCAACTTTAATTTGTGTGATGATTTTAAACATGAGTTAAATCTAATAAAATGGTCATGAAACATTTTTCAGTTGTTAATATGGTGCCATATAGCCCACCTTCACCCTCACGGTCTCACCCCTCATCGGCCCTGATTAAATTCGAACACCCCCACTAATTTCAATTCCTGGGGAAAATACTGCTCCCAGCCTTGCTCCAGCCCTGCTCCTGCCTTGGACCCAGCCTTACCCCTGCCTTTCCTAACTTCAGGTAACCCAGTACTGGCCATGGCTCTGCTTCCTAACCCTTGGTACTAACATCTGGTGTCTGACTCTGGTTCTGACCCTTGGTTTCAATTCCTGACTAGTGACTTCTGCTCTAACCACTAGGCATGACCACCCATGTCCCAGTAACTGACACCTTGAGACATCTCTTGGGGCTTTAGAGTGCCTACTTTAGAGTACTATGTCTACACAGTGATGGAGATGCACTGCTCCCTGGGGTGGCTCAGAATAAAGTTGCAATAATACCCCTAAAAGTAAATGACTGCTGTAGTGAATTTGTAGGAGTGTTTGAAGCTACCAGTATCCTGTCAGGGCTGTGTTTAGCAGAACTCTGTTTCAAAGTGGACCAAAGGATGAGTTTTGGGAAAGAGCAATTAACACAACTGACCAGGAGATGCAGCTAGTGAAAAATCAGACCATGGGGGCAGCATCCAGTGTAGCTGGTGTCCCAGGGCCTCTCACAAGGGCAGAGATAGAGAGCTGCAAGGCAGCCCAGTCAGTAACAGAACTAGGGGCTGACTTGACAGAAGCAGCCATAGAAGGAAGTGGTTAGAACAGCTGCTCTTAGGATATGCTTGTGTGTTCTCCAGGAACAATGAAGAGCTTGGGAGATATGATTGGGTGCAACATTGGATATGCTTATGTAACCCACACACCTCCTGGGTGTGGTGTTCTGTCCCAACTAGTGGCACCGAGACCACTTAGCCCTGGTCTACACTACAAGTTTAGGTCGAATTTAGCAGCGTTAGATCGATCTAACCCTGCACCCATCCACACAACGAACCATTTTTGTCGACTTAAAGGAACCAATACCCTCCCAACCCTCCCAAGGTGGGCTCCCGGACCTTGAAGGTGGAGAAGGCACCTCTGGTGAGTGTACCTTTGTAAATATAATACATGGTTTAAAAGCAAGCATGTTTAATGATTAATTTTCCCTGAAGACTTGGGATGCATTTGTGGCCAGTACAGCTCCTGGAAAAGTCTGTTAACGTGCCTGGGGATGGAGCAGAAATCCTCCAGGGACATCTCAGTGAAGCTCTCCTGGATGTATTCCCAAAGCCTTTGCAAAAGGTTTCTGGGGAGGGCAGCCTTATTCCATCCTCCATGGTAGGACACTTTACCATGCCAGGCCAGTAGTATGTAGTCTGGAATCACTGCATAACAAAGCATGGCAGCGTATGGTCCCGGTGTTTGCTGGCATTCAAGCAACATCCATTCTTTATCTCTCTGTGTTATCCTCCGGAGAGTGATATCATTCATGGTCACCTGGTTGAAATAGGGGAATTTTATTAAAGGGACATTCAGAGGTGGCTGTTCCTGCTGGGCTGTTTGCCTGTGGCTGAAAAGAAATCATCCCTGCTTTTAGCCACGTGGTGGAGGGGGCCCCGTTCAAGCTGAGCAGTTCGTGTTTGGCTGGCAGGGATCTTCCCTGATACTAGTCACGCAGTGGGAGGAGGGGTGAAGCGATCATCCCAGAGAATTGGGTGGTGGGGGTTTAGTTGGGTTTCTGCTGCATGTTAACCCGAAAACTGCAGTCCCTCCTTTTAAATGGCCAACTCAACGGGTGCTTGGTATGGGAAAGGAGGGGGCTTCTGTTTGAAACCATTCACCATGAAATGGTTTCAAACCATTCACCGTGAAATGACAACCCAACAGGTGCTTGAAATGGGAAAGGAGGGCGCTGCTGTTTGAAACCATTCACCATGAAAGAGTCTACCCATTGTTCTCGAAAATGTGTCTTTTTAAATACTACTTTCCCTTTTTTTCCTCCTGCAGCTGCAAATGTTTCAGCGCTCCCCCAATCATCTCCATCCCAGAGGCTAGCGCAAATAAGAAGGTGAAAAAAATGCACTCGCAATGAAATGTTCTCTGAGCTCATGCAGACTTCCCGCACTGAAAAAGCTCAGCAGAATGTGTGGAGGCAGACAATTGCAGCATTCAGGAAAGGAGAAAATGAACACGAGGAAAGGTGGCAGGAGCAAGATGATAGGTGGCAGCAGCTTGATGAGAGGAGGCAGGAGGCAATGCTGAGGCTACTGGAGGATCAAACTGATATGCTCCGGCGTATGGTTGAGCTGCAGGAAAGAGCACATACCGCTGCTGCAGCCACTGTGTAACCGCCCACCCTCCTCCCCAAGTTCCATAGCCTCCTCACCCAGACGCCCAAGAACGCGGGGGGGGTGTCTCCGGGTACCCAACCACTCCACCCCAGAGGACTTCCCAAGCAACAGAAGGCTGGCATTCAATAAGTTTTGAAGTGCAGTGTGGCCCTGTCCTTCCCTCCTCCCCTCCTCCCCCACCTCACCTGGTGCTTCTCTCCTCCCCCACCCCTCCTGGGCTAGCTTGGCAGTTATCCCCCTATTTGTGTGACGAATTAATAAAGAATGCATGAATTTGAAACAACAATGACTTTATTGCCTCAGCAGGTGGTGATCAAAGGGAGGAGGGTGGTTGGCTTACAGGGAAGTAGAGTGAACCAAGGGGCTGGGGGCTTTCATCAAGGAGAAACAAACAGAACTCTCACACCGTAGCCTGGCCAGTCATGAAACTGGTTTTCAAAGCTTCTCTGATGCGCAGCACACCCTGCTGTGCTCTTCTAACCTCCCTGGTGTCTGGCTGTGTGTAATCAGCAGCCAGGCGATTTGCCTCAACCTCCCACCCCACCATAAACGTCTCCCCCTTACTCTCACAGATATTGTGGAGCACACAGCAAGCAGTAATAACAATGGGAATATTGGCTTCACTGAGGTCTAACCGAGTCAGTAAACTGTGCCAGCACGCTTTTAAATGTCCAAATGCACATTCTACCACCATTCTGCACTTGCTCAGCCTATAGTTGAACAGCTCCTGACTACTGTCCAGGGTGCCTGTGTATGGCTTCATGAGTCATGGCATTAAGGGATAGGCTGGGTCCCCAAGGATAACTATAGGCATTCCAACATCCCCAATGGTTATTTTCTGGTCTGGAAAGTAAGTCCCTTGCTGCAGCTGTTCAAAGAGTTCCTGAAGATGCAAGTGTCATGTACCTTTCCCGGCCATCCCACGCTGATGTTGGTGAAACATCCCTTGTGATCCACCAGTGTTTGCAGCACCATTGAAAAGTACCCCTTTCAGTTTATATACTGGCTGCCAAGGTGGTCTGGTCCCAAGATAGGGATATGGGTTCCGTCTATCGCCCCACCACAGTTAGGGAACCCTACTGCAGCAAAGCCATCCATTGTGACCTGCACATTTCCCAGAGTCACTACCCTTGATAGCAGCAGCTCAGTGATTGCATTGGCTACTTGGATCACAGCAGCCCCCACAGTAGATTTTCCCACTCCAAATTGATTCTCGACTGACCAGTAGCTGTCTGGCGTTGCAAGCTTCCAGAGGGCTATCGTCACTCACTTGTGAACTGTGAGGGCTGCTCTCATCTTGGTATTCTGGCACTTCAGGGCAGGGAAAAGCAAGTCACAAAGTTCCATGAAAGTGCCCTTACGCATGCAAAAGTTTCGTAGCCACTGGAAATCATCCCAGACCTGCAACACTATGCAGTCCCACCAGTCTGTGCTTGTTTCCCGGGCCCAGAATCAGCATTCCACTCCATGAGCCTGCCCCATTGCCACCAAGATGTCCAAATTGCCGGGGCCCGTACTTTGAGAGAAGTCTGTGTCCATGTCCTCATCAATCTCATCACCGCGCTGCCATCACCTCCTTGCCTGGTTTTGCAGGTTAATGCACGAGGTGTTTACCATGCTCATAACTGCCGCGGTGAGCTGAGCGGGCTCCATGCTTGCCGTGGTATGGCGTCTGCAGGAGAGCAGAGTTGCAGCAGAAGCGGTGGATGACGATGGTTAGCAGACCTACTGCACCGTCTGCTGACAGCAGCACCAAGACACAACAGCGGCGGTGTCGGTGAGCTGAGCTGAGCTGAGCGGGCTGCATTCTTGCCGTGGTATGGCGTCTGCAGGAGAGCAGGAAAGCAGAGTTGCAGCGGAAGCGGTGGCTGACGACCTGCGAGGTGGATTCATGAGAGCAGGAGAGCAGAGTTGCAGTGGAAGCGGGAACCCATGACAGCAAACATGGAGAAATTTGCTATCGAGACAAGAGCAGGAGAGCAGAGTTGCAGCAGAAGCGGTGGTTCGATGATGACGGTTAGCAGTCCTACTGCACCGTCTGCTGAAAGCAGTATGGCGTCCGCACTGAAAAAGGGCGAGAAACAATTGTCTGCCATTGCTTTCACGGAGGGAGGGGTGACTAACAACATGTACCCAAAACCACCCACGACAATGTTTTTGCCCCATCAGGCATTGGGAGCTTAACCCAGAATTCCAATGGGTGGCGGAGACTGCGGGAACTGTGGGATAGCTACCCACAGTGCAATGCTCTGAAAGTCAACGCTAGCCATGGTACTGTGGACGCACTCTGCCGACTTAATGCGCTTAGTGGGGACACACACAATCGACTGTATAAAATCACTTCCTCAAAAATCAACTTCTATAAATTTGACATAATTTCGTAGTGTAGACATACCCTTAGAGAGAGAGATTAATAAATCTGCTCTACAGCCTTATCTAAGAGCCATATGGCTTTTAGCTCATGTAGTAGAGACTCATGCACTAAGCTCCAGAGGTTCGATCCCCCCTGTCGACGACTGGGGTCTGTCGGTGTTACACTTAAGCTAGGGAGTGTTCCAGTGAGGCAGCCCCCATCGTGGATTCCCCGGTGTATCTGGGAGGAGTGAAAGAGAAGCTAAATCGTAGGCATGATGATGGTGTGTGTGAACAATCTGTATCACCTTGGGTTTCCCCAGTTGTAATTGTGAAAAGCCCATCAAGAGACTGGGGGATATGTGTTGACTACCGGAGACTTAATTCACACACAGTTCAAGGTAGCTGCCCACTCCCTTACTGTGACAAGGTTTGGGCTGTAATCCAGAGTAGGGAGGGGTTTTGTCACCACTAGCCCTGCAACCATGGGTGCCTCACAATGCTTTGCTGCTGTAGCTCCCAAGCTGCGACGCTTACAGCCAGCATGCAGGTCACACGCTGAGTGTCCGTGTGCTAGGCAGCTCTGGTTCAGCAGCTCGGACCCCAGCACTGATTTTAGAGTTCCACTGAACCTCTCCACCAGCCCACTTGTCTTTGGGTGAAATGGGCAACTTTTAGTTGTTTCACCCCACACAACTACCATAATTTACTGACTAGCTGAGGCATGAAATTCAACTCACCATCGGATAAAATCTCTTGAGGGAAACCCACTCTGCTAAAAATAGCGAAAAGGGCATTTGCCACAGAATCAGCCTTTTTTAGTTAGAACAACTGCTTTGGGTTATCTAGGGGCACGATCCACTACCACCAGGATAGATTTCTTTCCTCTTTGGGGAGGACGTGGCATAGGACCCACAATGTGCATTGCTACTCTATAAAATGCCTCTTGTATCACAGGCAAGGGGCGGAGAGGAACCTTTTGGGTTCCTGCAGGTCTTTCTTTTATGACATAATTCACAAGACCTGCTATAATAAATGGGGGGTGGGAGGGTGGGGGGAAGGGTAGCTCCCTTTTATGGACACCCAGCCAGCCAGTTAGCTATAAAATTCCTCTTAGTACCTGTTCTCTACTTGCTTTACCTGTAAAGGGTTAACAAACCCACTGGTAAAAAGAAAGGAATGGGCACCTGACCAAAAGAGCCAATGGGAGGACTAGAACCTTTTAAAATGGGGGGGGGGGGAAGCTTTCCCTTTGTGTCTGTTGTTGTTCTCTGGGAAAGAGGGGAGCAGGACAGCAGTTATGCTGTGAGAAGCTTTAAAATCAGGTATGAAAAAGCATCAAATCATACCTCAACCCTACTTATCTGAAACCCCAAATATGTCAGTAATCAGGGAATGTCTAGGAAGACGTGATTAGGGTTATTTCTTTTATTTCTTATTGGCTTGTGGTCTCCTCTGTGCTAACCCCAGATCATAGAATCATCATAGAATCATAGAATATCAGGGTTGGAAGGGACCTCAGGAGGTCATCTAGTCCAACCCCCTGCTCAAAGCAGGACCGATCCCCGACTAAATCATCCCAGCCAGGGCTTTGTCAAGCCTGACCTTAAAAACTTCTAAGGAAGGAGATTCCACCACCTCCCTAGGTAACGCATTCCAGTGTTTCACCACCCTCCTACTGAAAAGGTTTTCCTAATATCCAACCTAAATCTCCCCCACTGCAACTTGAGACCATTACTCCTTGTTCTGTCATCTGCTACCACTTAGAACAGTCTAGAGCCATCCTCTTTGGAACCCCCTTTCAGGTAGTTGAAAGCAGCTATCAAATCCCCCCTCATTCTTCTCTTCTGCAGGCTAAACAATCCCAGCTCCCTCAGCCTCTCCTCATAACTCATGTGTTCCAGACCCCTAATCATTTTTGTTGCCCTTCGCTGGACTCTCTCCAATTTATCCACATCCTTCTTGAAGTGTGGGGCCCAAAACTGGACACAGTACTCCAGATGAGGCCTCACCAATGTCGAATAGAGGGGGACGATCACGTCCCTCGATCTGCTGGCAATGCCCCTACTTATGCATCCCAAAATGCCCATCCCCAGTTCCCTCAGCCTCTCCTCATAAGTCATGTGTTCCAGTCCCCTAATCATTTTTGTTGCCCTCCGCTGGACTCTTTCCAATTTTTCCACATCCTTCTTGTAGTGTGGGACCCAAAACTGGACACAGTACTCCAGATGAGGCCTCACCGATGTCAAATAGAGGGGAACGATCACATCCCTCGATCTGCTGGCAATGCCCCTACTTATGCATCCCAAAATGCCATTGGCCTTCTTGGCAACAAGGGCACACTGTTGACTCATATCCAACTTCTCGTCCACTGTAACCCCTAGGTCCTTTTCTGCAGAACTGCTGCCGAGCCATTCGGTCTCTAGTCTGTAGCGGTGCATTGGATTCTTCCGTCCTAAGTGCAGGACTCTGCACTTGTCCTTGTTGAACCTCATCAGATTTCTTTTGGCCCAATCCTCCAATTTGTCTAGGTCCCTCTGTATCCTATCCCTACCCTCCAGCGTATCTACCACTCCTCCCAGTTTAGTGTCATCTGCAAACTTGCTGAGGCTGCAATCCACACCATCCTCCGGATCATTTATGAAGATATTGAACAAAACCGGCCCCAGGACCGACCCCTGGGGCACTCCACTTGATACCGGCTGCCAACTAGACATGGAGCCATTGATCACTACCCGTTGAGCCCGACAATCTAGCCAACTTTCTATCCACCTTATAGTCCATTCTTCCAGCCCATACTTCTTTAACTTGCTGGCAAGAATACTGTGGGAGACAGTGTCAAAAGCTTTGCTAAAGTCAAGGAACAACACGTCCACTGCTTTCCCTTCATCCACAGAGCCAGTTA